TTATTTTTAACCAGAAGGGATGGGAGCGAGAGGCTGCAGCCTCTTTTCAGTTTGCAATCTGGGACTGGAACCGTCTCCCGTAGCACTGTCTCTACCATAATACACATCACGATGATGGTAGGCAGAATCATGGCCTCCTCTCTTCCCTCAAGATGTCTTTGTCTTAATCCTTGGAACCTGGGCAAATATTACGCTACATAACAAGGGAGAATTAAGATTTCAGGTGGAATTTAAGGTTGCCAATCAGCTGACTTTATAGTATGGAGATGATCCTGAGTTATCTGGGTGGGCTCCATGTAATCACCAGGGTCCTTAAATGGGGAAGAGGGAGCCAGGAGAGTTAGCCTTAGAGGGATGGATGCAGGAAAAATCCAACTGGCCATTGCTGGCTGTGAAAACAGAAGGGGGCCAGGGCAATGGGCAGCTTCTGTAAACTGGAAAAGACGAGAAAGCATGTTCTCCCCTGAAGCCTCCAGAAAGGAATGCAGCCACCTTTATTTTAGCCCAGTGAGATCCATTTTGGACTTCTGACCTTCAGAACAGACAGATAAAGATAACAAATGCGTGCTGTTTTAAGCAACTAAGTTTGGCGTAATTCGTAATTCGTAATTCGTTACAGCAACAATAGGAAGTGAAAACAATGTTGAAATGTGATCCTCCGGCTGTCCTTCGAGAACAAGAGCCATACTGTTATCTCCTTTATTTACCCAGAATCCAGCACAGGATCTGGCATATAGTCAGGGCTCAGTAAATATTTCTGGACCAATGAAAGAAAGAAAGCCAGCTCTAACTTCTTAAGGTTCTACTCAGGCCCCGAGATTTCAAAGCATCCACTGTCTTTACCTTTCCCCAGGCCCTGGAGAACCTAAGCCCTTCGATCTGACTTTTCTCTAGTTTCCTTGCCCCATTGATCTGGGTTTCACGTTGCAGGTTTTACGGCTCTTGCACTTGCAGCTGCCTCCCTTGCTGTGGCTTATTTCCCTCTTCTCTCCAGCTTTGTGTGGAGGAAGAATTGAGATACAAGACACGTGTCACATATGCATCTGACTTTGCCATCACGCTTTCTGTGGGGTATGTGTGAAAATGACGTTGTCTTCCTTCCCAAGATGCTGGCCGTAGCTGCCTCCAATCGGATGTCCTATCCAGCTTCTGCTGTTTTCCAACCGACTTGAACAAGGAACAGCTTTCGTTTCATCTCTTCCTTTCTGTTTTCTGCATTGACTGCAAGGTTCCCATCTTTCCTAGGCTGCTTCTTAACCCCTTTGCCGTATGATTCCAGGGGTTTCGAGCAGAGACAATTTAAGGAATTAAGGCACTCTCAAGCGACCTCAGGTTTACTCTAAAGCCACTCAGGGACTCCCTTGGTTTATTTTACGCAGCCCTGCAAAATCCACTCAGGCTGGGCTCTCCCAGCTGTGGTTGGGTCACTGCGATATTGTTATTTTGTTACTTCCTTTTCAGTCAGCCCTTCTCAGGCCCCGGCCTCTCTAATCCCACGCTGAGCTTGGCTTCTGCTTCTCTGGCTTTCCCGTCACCAGCCTTGTGTTCAGTCTCCCCCGAAACCAGGCTCTGACGGGCTCGCTCGGTCACGGTTGAAAGCAGCGTTCTCATGCCAGACCTCCTGTCATGCCGCTGATTTGTCCCATATGTTTGATTCTGGTAACCGGGCCAATTCCTGGGCAGGCTTTTGTGGCTAGGTCTGGTAGCAGAGCCAAGAGAAACAATGTGCGGTAACCTATGTAGAAAGAGCTGCCTCTGACCACTCAATCCTGGGGCCCTTGGTGCTGGGCACATGGCCTCTCTAGCACAAATTCCCTTACCACAACTCTCTGTTCTGCAGGTGATATTCACACCTCTTCATTCTCTGCCACGTGCACCACCTCCCCCCCTTCCCACTCCTGAAGAAGTTGGTGAAACAAACAGATCAGTTTCACTCTCCCTACCCACAGACCAATTTCAAGTGTGAGATTTTCATTTTGCAGGAATCCTTGGGTCTCAAGCATCTGATTGGCTGCAGGAGGTGGTAGCACCACAGCAGTGTGGTCTAGATCCAGGACAGTGGTTTATTTCCTAACAAGGAGCTATTACTCTGTTCCCCTTGGGTTATAGTCTAGGGTTCTGCATGCTCCAAGGTACAGAAACAATCAGGCTTTGGACCAGGACTCTGAGGTCTGTATTCTCTGGTAACTAACTTTGTCATCCTTTCTTTTTTCTTTTCTTAAAAAAATTTTTTTAATGTTTATTTTTGAGAGAGACAGAGTGCGAGCAAGGGAGGGGCAGAGAGAAAGGGAGACACAGAATCTGAAGCAGGCTCCAGGCTCTGAGCTGTCAGCACAGAGCCCGATGTGGGGCTTGAACCCACAAACTGTGAGATTGTGACTGAGCAGAAGTTAAGACGCTTAACTGACTGAGCCATCCAGGCACCCCCAGACTTTAGTTTTTTTTTTTTGTTTTTTTTTTTTTAAAGTTTTGTGTTGGGGCGCCTAGGAGGCTCAGTCGGTTAAGCATCTGGCTCTTGATTTCGGCTCAGGTCATGATCTCACGGTTGTGAAGTTCAAGCCCCACCTGCATTGTCTGTGCCTAGCCTGCTTGGGATTCTCCCTCTCTCTCTCTCCCTCCCTCTCTCTCTCTGTTCCTCCCCCATTGGTGCTATCTATCTGTCAAACTAAATAAATAAACTTAAAATAAAAAAGGTTTTGTCAAATAAATAAACTTAAGAAATAAACAAGGTTTTGTCTTCCTCGAGGTTCTTAATGGTAGCAGTTTACAGAGATACACTCAAACTAACTTACGCAAAAAAAAAAAAAAAAAAAGTTGGGTGGGAATTCTTTGGAAGGGGGCCAAGGCCTTCCTGCAGCCTGAGGGCAGAGGGGGAGTGGGCCTCACAAGGGGGCTGGAAACAAGAACTGCTTAGTCTCCCCTTGCTGCTTCTCTCAGTGGATGTCTTTCTTCCTCTCCCTCCTTACTTGAGCTTTCTTTGCTGCTCTCTTTGTTTCACTTTCACATTTCTGGGAGGCCAGGGGATAGAGAGCAAATCCAGCGACGGGTCTACCCCTACGACTAGAGCAAATCTCAGAATCTGTGGGCTAGGGAGATACCCTTGAAACGATTTCAGAGCACTGTAAAGTCAGGAATTTCAGTCTGTCCCTTCTTGCCGAAGAGGGTTCCAGCCTGCAGTGACAGTTATGGGAGAACCCTCCCTTCCTAGTTCCAGGCGATGGATAAACAGGAACTGACAATCGTCACCGCTCTGGGACTAATACTTTGACAAAAACATAATGAGACCTCACTCTTACTCTGAATACTGCTCTGCTGTTCACTATGTGCCTCCGCTTAGCTACATCTGACTGCCTTTTAGGGATTTGGCTCAGATCACACGATATGCCATAGAGGCTAAATTGTCTGGTTTAGAGGCGTAAACTGCCATTTCAACTATTAATGTCTTTAGAAAAATAGACCCTTCAAAATTTGCAACTTATGAGATAAAGGGGACTATGTTCTCACCCTCAACTGGCAAAGGGTTCATTCTGATTGTCCTCTGTAGAAAAGGCACTTAGGAAAACCACAATTCTCCCTGAAAACCAAATTGTACATTTTTCTTTAATCTAGCTCAGCAGTTGATGTCTTTTTTAAAAAAATGTTTATTTATTTTGAGAGAGAGAAAGAGAAAACACAAGCAGGGGAGGGGGAGTTCTAGGCTTAACTGACTGAGACGCCAGGCTCTGGGAGGTCCTTTTATGACCGGGAGCAAGGTGAAAGCTGATGGGAACTTGTAACCAGGAAAATTTGGCAGTCTTGACAAAATTGGTTACTAATTGAATGACCTTTGCAGGTAACCTAGCCTCTGTGAGGCTGCTTTTTTTTTTTTTTAATGTATTTTATTTATTTCTGAGAGCGAGAGAGAGCGAGCGAGAGAGAGCGAGCGAGAGAGAGCGAGCGAGAGAGAGCGAGCGAGAGAGAGCGAGAGAGAGCGAGACAGTGTGAGCAGGGGAGGGTCAGAGGGAGGGGGAGACACAGAATCTGAAACAGGCTCCAGGCTGAGCTGTCAGCACAGAGCCCAATGCGGGGCTCGAACCCACGAACCGTGATATTATGACCTGAGCCGAAGTCGGACGCTTAACCGACTGAGCCACCCAGGCGCCCCCTTTTTTCACCCCCTCAAACCTGGCCTAACAATTTTTACTCAGGTGTTTTTTTAAATTTAATTTTTAAAAAATGTTTATTTCTAGGAGAGAGAGAGAGAGAGAGAGAGAGACAGCGTGAGCAGGGGAGGGTCAGAGAGAGAGGGAGACACAGACTGAAACAGGCTCCAGGCTCAGAGCTGGCAGTCAGCACAGAGCCAGACGCAGGGCACGAACCCAAGAACCGAGAGATCATGACCAAAGCGAAAGTCGGACGCTTAACCGACCAAGCCACCCAGGCGCCCCTTTATTCAGGTGTTTTAAGACGGAACACCGTAAAACAAAAGACTAGAAACACGTGGAGCATTACCGATCTCAACATGAGAGTCTGACATTGCTGAAAAAAGAACGGAGTTTAGATGGACTTTAAGGAAAAACCAGGGAACTCCAGAGGTGGCAATTTAGCCAGCTCCGGCTTTCAGCAGATATACCAAAAAAATTTCTACGGCGGGCTCGTTCTCCTTTAAGTGGAAAACAAGTGTTCGCTTTGGCGGAATCCTTTCTTCAGTAAGAGAAAATTCCATTTCCCAAAACTTTGCTTCCCCGCCCAGTCTGCAAACAACGAGTCAGGTTTTCCTCACAGGGGCCGCCGCAAGCCGAGCGGAGCCCACGAGTGGGGCGGGGGTGGCGGCGGTGGCTCCGCTTCGGGCGGCGGGTCTGCGCCCCAACAGGTCCGACCGCCGGGGGACCGCCCCGTCCGCACCAAGCCCTCGCCGCCCCCATCCGACACGTCTGCACGACTTAGGGCGTGGTTTTCGGCAGCGCTCGCGAGCTTTCCGGTTGTCCCACCAACCCGCCTTCCTTCCGGGGCGGGACTTCCTGTCCATTATTGATAGGCGCCGGGCTGCAGAGTTGTTGGAAGGAGAACAGAGGAGGTCAGTTTGGGTGTTCAGGTCTTATGCCCCCTCGAAAGGGTACCCGGGAGGACGCTCTTCCTCGCTCTCTCTCTCGCTTTTCTTTCTCCCCGAGAGGTCTCGGTTTGCTGGGACGTCTTAGGCTTTCGGTACTTCCACCCACCTGAGGCTCTTCCGCTTCCTCTTTCCCAGGCTCCGCCCCCAGCGTCCCGTGGCCATGACGACCGCCCAGCGGGACGCGCTGGTGTGGAAGCTCGCGGGGCTGCTGCGGGAGTCTGGTGAGTGGATACCGGTTGATCTGGGGCTGGGGCAAGGTGGGGGTGCACCCTGCCTTACAGAGACACTCCCCCTAGGGGTCGTAGAATTACAGCTGTTTAAGGCCACGAGCGTTCGGGCGTTAGTTCATTTTTTACTTCTCTGGGTTTGTTTTCTCTGGTGCCATTGCTTACAGTGTCCTTTGACAGTGCAAACGTTAGCCATCCTTCGAGGCCCACTCCAGTGCCACTTCCTCCATGCGTTCTCTGATACTCTCAGAGGAAGGTGATCAGTACTTGGCTGTAAGTCTCTGGAGACCAGGGACTAGTATAGTATTGCTGTGTGGCAAGGCTCTTAATATAGTTTAAAGCGTGAGATTTGTTGGAGTCAGATTCACTTGGTTTGGAATCCCAACCCTCTTTCAAACGTGGTGAAGTTAAGTTTTCTGAACCTAAGTTTTCCTCACCAGCAAAATGGCATAATGATGGTACTTAACGCAGAAGGTTGTTGTGGGGATTGATTTTAATTCATGTCAAGCACATAGGACGGTGTTTGCATAATATGTAAGGGCTCAAAACTGGTAGCTATTTTTACTAGAGTTTCTTCTTTCAGGACTTGGGCACGGTGGAGCCACACTGGTCGTTTGGTATGTGATTGACATTAGTTGTGGTAGAACAAGCCTGGGCTTTGAGGTCAGACAGAAGTAGCAACTTCCTACCACCCATATAATCCCAATTAATATTCTTCTCTAAACCCTAATTTCCGTATCTATAAGAGGTGGTCAGTAGTGCTTCTTTTTAGGAGATTCTAATGACGTTTAAAACAGGTAACCAAGTTTTCTGCCGCATACTACCCAAGTCATGTTTACTGCCTTCCAGCACTTTGTACTCCCATCGATGGTACCTTTGGAATCTTTTTATAGCAGTTTTGCTTTCTGGCTTGTTTTATTAACTGTGTATACGTGCTTTATCTCTTGTAGACTAGGGGTCTCTTGAGGGTGGGAAGAGTCTTTAAACCCTGTCCACATCTATCCTTAGTGTCAAGTGCATAGAACATCTTTTAAGTTCTAGTTGCAGGATTTATCGGTTTGTTCAGACAAATCTGACCTGGTATTCCAGGGGTTAGTCATGATGGTGTGTGTGCATGTGTGTGTATGGCTATAAAGAGGTAGCAAGAGAGAGAGCTTTATGGTGATGGAATAGTGTGTCTTCATGGTGATGTTGGTTATAAGAATCCACACCAGTAATAGTGACACAGAACTATACATATGTACATACGTACATTGTCAGTTTCCTGGCTTTGATATCCTTCGGCATTTTTATAAAATGTAACCATTGGGGGAAACTGGGTGAAGGATACAGGGTGCCTCTCTGTAAGATTTTTTGGGACATCCTTTGACTCTATCCTTGTTTTTATTTTTATTTTTTAAAATGTTTATTTTTTTTTTAGAGAAGTAAAATATTTTTATTATTTTTGTTAGTTCTTTTTTTTTTTTTTTACAAATAGTTTATTGTCAAATTAGTTTCCACATAACACTCATTGCTCATCCCCACAAGTGCCCTCCTCCATGCCCACCCCCCCCCCCCACATCCATCAGTCCTCAGTTTTTGTCAGCATTCAAGAGTCTCTCATGGTTTCCCTCTCTCCCTTTCCCCCACCATTTCCGCCCTTCTTCTCCCCCTTGTTCCTCCGTCAAGTTCCTCCTAATCCTCCTATACGTGCAAACATATGATATTTGTCCTTCTCTGCCTGACTTATTTCGCTCAGCATAACACCCTCAAGGTCCATCCATGTTGCTACACATGGCCAGATTTCATTGTTTCTCATTGCCATGTAGTATTCCATGGTATAGATAAACCACATCTTCTTGATCCATTCATCTGTTGATGGACACTTAGGCTCTTTCCATGTTTTAGCTATTGTGGAGAGTGCTGCTATGAACATTGGGGTACATGTGCTCCTATGCCTCAGCATTTCTGTATCCCTTGGGTAAATTCCTAGCAGTGCTATTGCTGGGTCATAGGGGAGTTCTATTGTTAGTTTCCTGAGGAACCTCCACACTGTTTTCCAGAGGGGCTGTACCAGTTTACATTCCCACCAACAGTGTAGGAGGGTGCCCGTTTCTCCACATCCTCGCCAGCATCTAGAGTTCTCTGATTTGCTCATTTTAGCCACTCTGACTGGCGTGAGGTGGTATCTCAGTGTGGTTTTGATTTGTATTTCCCTGATGAGGAGGGACGCTGAGCATCGTTTCCTGTGTCTGTTGGCCATCTGGATGTCCTCTTTGGAGAAGTGTCTGTTCATATCTTCTGCCCATAAAATGTTTATTTTTGAGAGAGAAAGAGGGAGAGCACTGTGTGCAAGCAGGGGAGGGGCAGAGAGAGAGGGAGACAGAGAATCCTAAGCAGCCTCCACGCTGCCAGCATAGAGCCTGAGGCAGGGCATGAACTCAGAAACCATGAGATCATGACCTGAGCTGAAATTAAGAGTTGGACGCTTAACTGACTGAGCCACTCAGGTGCCCCTCTATCTTGGTTTAAAAAAAAAAAAAAAGGTAAAAAAAATGTCTTTGTGCTTACCTCATAGCTCTACTTTTTTAGGTACAGTGATGGGTACCAAGGTAATCAAAAGATGTTCTCGAGTGACAGTCTCATTTGAGAGAGCAGTTATAGTATACAGATCAAGAATTCAAGTGCAATAATGAGTAATTACTCTTTCTGTGACGTGCATTTTAGGATTGTTTGTAAGTTTCAATAAGTGTGCATATCTTGCAATGAGAAAAAGAAGTAAAGATGAAACAAACATCTGGGGTGCCTGGTTGGTTCAGTGGTAGAACATGCGGCTTTTGATCTTTGGGTCGTGGGCCTGAGCCCCATGCTGGATGTAGTTTACTTAAAAAAAAAAAAAGAATGAGACACATTACCACCAGCTTTCATGTACAATGAATGATTGTGGTGTAAAAGTACAGCAGTGTGACACAGTGAGAACCCTGCCAGGAGGAGGTAGGTCTCGAGCTTAGCAGAGTGGAAAGGAAGATCAGAAAATGAGGAAGCTGTGAACCAAGTTGACTATATTCCCAGCATTGTGAGGAGGCCAGACTCTCTTGAGCAGATGGTGAAAGAAAATTTGGAAGAGTCAGCTGGACGTAGTGATACGATTTCATATTTCAGGCCAAAGACTTAGGACTTTTGGGGAAGATAGAGGAGAGCCATTGAAGACTTTTGAGGTGGGGAGGAGATAGTATGATGCTGGCAGCTTATAGTGTGGGTTGGAGTGGGTGAATCCTGGCGTCACAGAGTCTTAGAATAAAGGGAAAGGCCCTTTGGTTATGCTCTCTTTCCTGTCGCCCCTTTCCCTGCAGGCGATGTGGTCCTGTCTGGCTGTAGCACTCTGAGCCTGCTGACTAGCACCCTGCAGCACCTGAACCACGTATTTGAGCTGCACCTGGGGCCATGGGGCCCTGGCCAGACGGGCTTTGTGGCCCTGCCCTCTCACCCCGCCGACTCCCCTGTCATCCTCCAGCTTCAGTTCCTCTTCGATGTGCTGCAGAAAACTCTGTCACTCAAGGTTCTGGGGTGGGAATGGGCTAGGGTGTACGCAGAGCCCGAGGGCTGGGGGTGGGGACATGGGTGCAAGACGTCTGCGGGGCCCAGATTGAGGAGGCGTGAGAACTGTGGGTGGCTGTGCGGAGGAGGAGAGGCCAGGGAAAGGGAGATGTGCTGGCCTCAGGGACGTGAGTAGTTTTTTTTTTTTTTTTTTTAGCTGGTCCATGTCCCTGGTTCTGGCCTCCCAGGGCCCATCAAGATTTTTCCCTTCAAGTCCCTTCGGCAGCTGGAGGTATGGAGTGTTGGGGAGGCTGGCACCCAAAACCCAGCCTGGGGCAGCCTTTGGGGAATGGGGAAAGAGAGAGGGCCTCTTTTGGGGGTGGGGGGAACAGGCCTGAGTGTGCCTGTTGCCCCGCAGCAGTGTGGCATCCGCCTCATTTAAGGCTTCCCTGATTCATAGTTGCCCTTGTCAACTTCTCCCTCCCTGTAAGAGGAGGGGAAGTGAGGCGAAGCCTCTGTCTTTTGTGAAGTTCATTCCCGCCCCCTCCCCCCCCCCCCCCCGCGCCTTTTCTCCACCGCAGCTCCGAGGTGTCCCCATCCACTGCCTTCGTGGCCTCTGTGGCATCTATTCCCAGTTAGAGACCCTGATTTGCAGCCGGAGCATCCAGGCCTTAGAGGTAAGGAGGATGAGGGCTGGGCCCAGATGTCCCCTTCTGAGGGACATAGAGGACCAAGCTCTGACATTCCCTCTCTTTTGCAGCCTCCCCTGCCTCCCGCTTCCCTCTGGACAGTGTCCTTGCCCCCTTTGCTCTGCTCCCATAGCACCGTGTATCTGTCTGTCTGTTTATGGCCGCACCTGCCATCTCGTATTCAATATTCCTGTGTTTGTCTCCCTGTTCTCCCCACAACGAGCTCCTGGGGGCAGGGCCCGGGGCTTTCTTTCCGTCTGCCTCTGCAGACCAACTTTAGTGTATAAAGAATGAATGAATGGCTGGGAGACGGCATGGCCTTGCCGGGGGCGGAGGGGACAGCGGAGGTAATGGAGCACCCTATCTCAGGAGCTCCTCTCAGCCTGCGGTGGTGACCTCTGCTCTGCCCTGCCCTGGCTGGCTCTGCTCTCTGCCAACTTCAGCTACAATGCACTGACGTCCTTAGATAGCTCCCTGGTGAGTGCCCAAGAGGGAAGGGGGTCCAGGGAGGGACAGGGGCGGGCCCTGAGGGAGGAGGGCCAGCCGGCCGCGTGGAGGTGTCTGATTCTCTGCTGCTTTTCCCATCCACCCCTCAGCGTCTCTTGTCAGCGCTGCGCTTCCTGAATCTGAGCCACAATCAAGTGCAGGACTGTGAGGGCTTCCTGATGGTGAGTGTGGGCAGGCTGCTCGGGGCCAGCCCCACTTGGCTTTTTGATCGTTCTGCTCTCACCCTCTCTCCTGGACCTGGGTCTGCCCCGACCTTGCTCTTGGCCCCCGCCTCCCCGCAGGTGGGGCTGCCTTCTGGAGGCAGTACTGTTTGGGAACTCGGGCTCTAGCAGGAGACAGGCCAGCATTCAAATATCAGCTCCTAATCCTTGTGTGATTTGGGCCAAACTAGCCTCTGAGCGTCTGCGCCTGTCTAGTAGAAGTCCTAGGAGGACCTGCTTTTGTCGTGTTACCGTGGGTGTGAAGGTGGCGGGATGCTGCTCAGCCCAGCGCGTAGCTCAGAAAAGATACCTTCGGGATGGTGGGGAGGAACCTTCTCCCACATCTCACAGTCAGAGGCCAATGGAGTCGGACACTAGTTAATGTGGTGAGAACGGACTTTGATCCGTAACACACCGCTGGAGTAGTAGTAAGTTGTGGTACGTCACCAGCTGTAAAACTGTCTTAATTGGTAGTAAACTTACTACCCATTCAGTTTATGCAGAGATTACTGGGAGCTTTAAGGAAGAGTGAGGGAGTGGGGCTGGGGAAGCCATGGGCTGCAGCCGATTCTGTCCTTGACCGAGCCAGTCGGTTTCCTCAGGTCAGGGAACTAGAAGTACCCAAAGCAGGAAGGGGGCATTGGTCCCTATGAAACCCACATGGGTCTGGGTTTGCTCACTGGCGCTTGCCACAGTTAGCTTCCTACCTTCCCTTGGGGGCTGGGGCGCCGGGGCTCTACCTTCCGATGTTGGCTGCAACAAACCGAATTCTCCTGGCAGCCTGGAGTTTCTCTAGGAGTTGTCTTCCCAGGGATGTGACCTTGAGCTATTAGGAACTATGCTCGTATTTGTTCAAGTCTGTTAACGTGGTTGGGGGCAGGGCACGGTGGAGGCCTGGATGAAATCATTTGTGCTGAGAGTACACAGTCTTCATAGGCCAAGGTTGAGGCCTGCTTGGAAAGAAGGCTCAGAGGAGCCTGGCTAGAGTCTGGTCAAGGAGAGAATCTTTGTCCCCAACCCCTCAGGACTTGTCTGAGCTCTGCCACCTGGACATGTCCTATAACCGCCTGCACACAGTGCCGAGAACAGGACCCTCGGGGGCCGCTCTGGGTACCCTGATACTGCGAGGCAATGAGCTCCGGAGCCTGCAGGGTGAGTGGGGTGTTTGGGGAGGGAGGTGGGGGGCCAGAGAGTAGGTGGGGGGGGCAAGCCCAGAGGGGTTTTAGGGGCAGTGTGAGACTCAGCGTGGCCTCATATGGGCCTACCAGTAGGTCTGAGGTGCCCAGGCTGGTCTTTCCGCTGTGCCGTCCCCCAGCACCCTGCCCCCCGCGCACCCACGTGCCCTTCCTCCCTCCCCATCTGCCCCCAGGCCTGGAGCGGCTGAGGAACCTGCGGCACCTGGATGTGGCGTACAACCTGCTAGAAGGACACAGGGAGCTGTCCCCGTTGTGTCTGCTGGCTGAGCTCCGCAAGGTGAGTCGTGAGGGCTACCAGGACTTGGGAGCCAGCTTGGCGCCTCTGCCGGCCTCCTTCCTGGGCTGATTGGGTGAGTGCCTGTCCTCACACAGGGAGGCCTGCGGCCCATCTCAGTGTCCCCTTCCTGCTCTTCAGCTCTACCTGGAGGGGAACCCTTTGTGGTTCCACCCTGCGCACCGAGTGGCCACTGCCCAGTACTTGTCACCACGCGTCAGGGACGCTGCAGCCAGTGTGAGTGATCTCACGTCTGCTCTGCCTTCCCATTCCTGCCCGGTACCACCCCCTGCGCCCTCCTGCCTCTCCCACCCCGTCCCCAGGTGAGGGGCCACAGCCCTGGCCCCCCTGCTTGCTATGCTGTTACCCCCCGCTGAGCCTCGTGGTCCCGGACTGAAGGGCGGCCCCCAGTGGGCACGCAGGGACCCCACCACCAACACGGCCCCTCCTCCTTTGTCCTTGCTCAGTTCCTTCTCGATGGGAAAGTCTTGTCACTGACTGACTTTCAGGTTAGTTCGCTGGGAGCGCCGGGAATAGGATGGGTTTGGGAGGACGGGAAAGGGGTCCCGGGGTCGGGGTCTTTCTGGGAAGCTGCAGGTGAGGGCCTGTCCCTGGGCTAGCGCCGCAGGGCACAGGTCACCTCTGGCTCCAGGCTCTCTCTCCTTCCTGCCGTCACACCCCAGGTCTCCTCCACACCCTCCAGCTCCACGGCTGCCCCTGCGCCCTGGCCAGCAGGGAGTACTGTTGAAACCTCAGGTGGCCCTGACCTGAGTGACAGCATCTCCTCTGGGGGCGTTGTGGCCCAGCCCCCCCATCGTAAGGTTAAGGTCAGCAGTGTCTTAGGCCACCTTGTGCCTGGGGGTGAGTCCCTTTAGCGGGTGCTCTGGTTTACGGATGGGTAAGAAATAGTAAGGGCTCATCCTTGCTTGTGGGTGGGGCTTTCTGGGTAGGTTGGGTGGGTGGCCGCGGATGGCAGGGTGAGGGTCCCCGGCTCTCATAGAGCACGGTCCCTCTGTCCACCCTCAGAGCCGAGTCCGTGTGAGGCGAGCAAGCATCTCAGAACCTAGTGATACGGACCCGGAGCCCCGTACTCTAGAGCCCTCCCCGGCTGGTAAGTCCTCCATGCCCCCGGCTGTCTTCAGTGTTCCGTCCCTGTCTTCTCAGCAGGGGGGTCCTGGCTGTGGCGGAGCAGAGCGCTGTAGAGGGCCTCCCGGGCGTTCCTCTTTCTTTCTAATTTAGGGGAAGAAGAGCCCGCTCCTGGGTAGCATTTTCCAAAGTGTTTTTCAAGGAACATGATTTTTGTGGGCTGTCGGAAGGTCACTTGATGACTAGATTCCCTGGGAATTTCTGGGCTGACCAAAGTTAAATAGACATCCTCCCGGGATGGCTCAGGACCTGCAGGAGGCCCCCTTGTATCTGGAATCTTCCAGGCAGCTCATGCTTTGTGGTTCTGAGTTGCACATGGCCACAGTGTTCCACGGAACACTCTTCAGGACATGCTGCCAAGGGAAAGCCTTCAACCCCCACCCCCACCCCCCCGCCCGCGATCCCCAGCCCCTATTACATTGCACATCTTTTTACTTCACTCTGAGGAACGGTTGCAGAAGAGGTCAGGGCTCGTCAGGGGTAGTGGTGGGGGCGCGGGCTTGCTCAGTGTTGCTCTCCCCACCGGCCCAGGGCAGTTTGTGCAGCAGCAGCGGGAACTTGAACTCATGAACAGCTTCCGCGAACGGTTTGGCTGTGACTGGCTACAGTATAAGAATCACCTGGATAGCTCTGGGACCCCGGGTCTGGCCACCTCACAGACCCCTGCCCTCAGCACACTGTCCCCGGACACCCGGAGCCCGGGGTCTGTGCCCGGGCCCCCACCCCTGCACAGGGAGTCACCACAGGAAATCACAGAGGAGGTCGGGCCACGGCCGGAGCCCCAGGAAGAAGAGGTGGCGGAGGAACTTGTGAAAGAGAAAGAAGGAAAAGAAGAAGAGGAGGAGGAGCAGGAGCAGAATGAAGTAGAGGGTGAGCCTTGAGAGCTTGGTGCCCGCCAGGGAGACAGGGCCCGGTGCTGGCGGTGTATCTGGGAGTTAGGAAAACCCAGACTTGGGATGGCTCCCCCTTTTGTGTGTTTGTTTCTTGTTTTTTTTTTTTTTTGTTTATTTTTAATGTTTATTTTTGAGTGCAAGTAGGAGAGGGGCAGAGAGAGGGGGAGACACAGGATCTGAAGCAGGCTCCAGGCTCTGAGCTGTCAGCACAGAGCCCGATGCGGGGCTCGAACCCACAAACTGTGAGACCATGACCTGAGCCCAAGTCGGATGCTTCACCGACTGAGCCCACCAGGCGCACCAGGTCATCCACCTGGATGACCTCTTTTGGATGGAGGGCCACCCCATGGGAAGGCAGAGTCGGGGATACCTCTCCCTTCTTACGGGGTTGCTCCCCTGGTCTCTCCTCAGCGGAACTGTGTCGCCCCATGTTGGTGTGTCCCCTGGAGGGGCCTGACAGTGTGCGCGGCAGGGAATGCTTTCTCCGGGTCACCTCCAGCCACCTGTTTGAGGTGGAGCTCCAAGCGGCCCGGACCCTGGCACGGCTGGAGCTCCAGAGCCTTGAGGCGGCGGAGGTGGAGCCTGAGCCTCAGAGCGGGAGAGAGGAGGTGCTCACGGTGAGCGGTGGCGCGGGCTCCTGGGACACGGGCTGAGCTCTTCGCAGGAACCGACTCGGGCAGCATGGCTGTTGGGGTGCCAGGCACTGGGTTGCAAGTTTCCCACAGCCTCTTGTTGGCTCTTGGAGCAGAAGAGGGGCGCTGTGGGGGCGTAGGTGTGGCCCCAGGCAGCCTGGAGGCCAGGCTGGTGCGCTAGAGCATGGATGTCAGCAAGAGCGTTCTCGTGACATCCAGAGCTGCTGTTGTCTTCGGGCCGTCAGTGTAACCGAATCCCTCTTGTCCACTCTCTTCTCTTTTTTTTCTTTCTTTCTTTCTTTTTTTTTTTTTTAATGGTTTTAATATTTGATTTTGAGAGAGAGAGGGAACATGTGCACCTGTGCAAGCGCAAGCTGGGGAGGAGCAGAGAGGGAGACACAGAACCCTAAGCAAGCTCCAGTCCCTGAGCTGTCAGCACAGAGCCTGATGCGAGGCTCGGACCCATGAACCGTGAGATCATAACCTGAGCCAAAGTCAGACGCTTAACTGTCTGAGCCCCTTCTCTCCTCTTTTCTACCCTGTCCCCCTGTCTGTGTGCAGGGCTCAGAGCCGCTCCCTGGGGCCCCTGTCCTTGTTCTGCGTTTCTCCTACATTTGTCCTGACCGGCAGCTGCGTCGCTACGTGGTGCTGGAGCCCGATGCCCACGCAGCTATCCAGGTAACGGGGCCTGGAGCGAGGCCCAGGGGGCTGGGGGAAGTTTGGGAGGCTGAGGGCCAGGGCGCAGTGCTCACCGCTACCCCTGGCCCACCCTGTTTCAGGAGCTGCTTGCTGTGTTGACCCAAGCAGCCACCGCGGCTCAGTGTCAGCTTGGGGAAGCGAGAGAGCCACTGAGGGGCAGGCTCCAGTGTCTGCGTTGTGGCCATGAGTTCAAGCCAGAGGAGCCCAGGTTGGGATTAGACAGTGAGGAAGGCTGGAGGCCTCTCTTCCAAGAGACAGGTATGGACCTTGCCCTTGGCCTTCCTGCCCACACGTCTCCCCCCGTTTCAGAGACAGTGGCTTTGAGGGAGGGAGTGTGGAGGGGGAACCCGAGGCAAGGGAAGGAATTGGGACCAACTTTTCTGCCTGGAGGAAAATAGAACCATTTGCCTGATACATTTACCAAAAAAAGAAAAAAGAAGGAGCAAAAAAGAGAAATTATATTCTTTTTCTTTTTGAAAGTCAGGAAATACAATCTCTGAAACTGTTTAAGCGTACTCATTACTTTTTCATAACTCGAAGGCTCTTTCTACTTTTTCTGGCTAATACTTAGAAACTGCATAAAAGCTCCTCAGCTGTCCCTGCAGTATTGGGTGTAGTGCTATCCTCCGAGCGTGCTTGGCTTTTGAGGAAGATACTTGGGGAGCTGGCGAAGGTCATCCTTCCCTGACTGATCTTGGAAACTACTTAATACCAAGGGGTGCCTCATGGTGTCTTTTACACTGTGTTCTTTAAAGGGAGAGATTCCTTCACTGTAGATCAGTCAAGAAGCTATGTCTTTGAAGACGTTAAAGAAGAAAGAAATATTCCTGATAGCATCTGTGTTGAAATGTATAACTTCTCTTCGCCCCTGTTTTCTTCTTGGCAGCGGCTAGAGCAGGGGTTTAAAGTTTATTGAGAGAGTAGACCCCTCCCCATCCCCCACTCTAAGTCTCCCTCCCCAGAGGCCCAGAAGCATGAAGTGTGCAGTGGAAGGAGCCCCATCCCCTCGAAGACCTCTTTCTGTGCTCCACAGGGTCACGTGGTCCCTGGGGTCCCTTTAGTGGGTCGTTACCAGAGAACATTCCCGTGTGTTATGTTTCTTTTTATTTGAGCCTCGGTTACCTTATCTGAACGAAAAAAGGGAGCGAACCTGTCCTCTGTACTGTTAGGAGATGTAAATGTGGCAAAAAGACACCGGGCACAGCGTCTGGCACAAAGCATAGGTCCTCTGTAAATGGTGGCTGTCGCTGCTAGCCTCGGCTCCCAGTCTGGGGCCGGGCACGTTAAATTATTTGATTGTTGCTTTTCTTACTTGCAAAATGGGATCGGGAGAGTTTTGATTCTGTCGTCTAAGGATCTGGCGTATGCCCAGCATGCTACAGCTGCTCAAAAAATGTTTCTTCTTTTGCCACCGATCCCTGACCTGGGTTCTTTACCTGGTCTGTGCACCCATCCTGACAACTCTGTAAGACAGGCACCCCGTTACAGAAGAGGAACCAGGCTCAGAGGGCTTAGGTGACTTGGTATAATTGCTTAGGTGACAACTGTTAAGTGACAGGGCCCAGAATTGGACCCATACCTGGCACCCTGCCTTCCTGATCTGTTGATTTGGGGCTTTCAGACGTGGCTGGTGGAGCCTCAGAGCCTGTGAGCAGCCTGAGGCTGTGGGAGGGCCCAGAGCAGGGCCTGGCTGAGCTTGGTCCTCTCTGAGAAGCCTCCAATAAGAAGGTGGCGTCCATTTTGAGGAGGTTGTAGGCCTTGGGTCTGGGTTTGCTCCTCCCTCACTGGGATGGAGAGTGGCTGGTTAACAGGCCTGCAGAGGGAGTGGGGAGAGGGGTGCTAGGAATGCGGGGGAGTGTATGAGGCTGGAGATGTCGGCCAGGGTGGGTCCAAGAGGGGGTGGGGAACATTAGGAGCACGGTGGGAGATTGCGGCACTGTGTCGGGGGTGGTTCACGGGGACTGTGCCCAACCTTCCTTCCAGAATCTCCTGCTGTATGTCCGAACTGTGGTAGCGACCATGTGGTTCTCCTGGCTCTGTCTCTGGGAACCACCAGCAGGGAGCATGGGCAGGGAGAGCAATCGCCAGCTCTCTTGCAGTCCACCAGAGCTGTCCGTGACCCTCCTGGCCACAGTGACCACAGCGACAGGGCCGACCGGGCCTCACCTCAGGCACCGGCCTCCCGAGACCACCAGAGTTGGAGCCTCAGTCCCCGTGAGTAGAGGTGAAATGAGACAGGGGTGGTGTTTGGGGGAGGGAGGAGGCCCTGCTGGGGAGGCGGGCTGGCCCCGTGGCAGTCGAGGGGTGCTGACGGCCCACTGCTTGCCTGCAGCCCCTGAGCGCCACAGCCTCCGCTCTGTGGACCACCGACTCCGGCTCTTCCTGGACGTTGAGGTGTTCACCGATGCCCAGGAGGAGTTCCAGTGCTACACCAAGGTCTGTGCCAGCCTGGCGCTATCCCGCACTCCTGACCACCTGCTCACTGCCAGCCCGGCACTGCCCCATGCCCTGAGTGCCCGCTTGCTGCCAGCCTGGTGCTGCCCTGTGCCCTGACTGCCAGCTCGTTGCCAGCCCAGCACTGCACCCCTGACCACCTGCTCGTGCCAGCCTGGCACTGCCCCGTGCCCCCGAAAGCCCGCTCACTGCCAGCCCGGTGCCGCCCCGCGCCCTGACCGCCCGCTCGCTGCCAGCCTGATGCTGCCCTGTGCCCCAACCACCCACTCGCTGCCAGCCTGGCAGGTTGTGTCTGAGCTGTGGCTCTAGAGGCACTGGGTCTGGCTCCTGGTTTCCACTCCAGTGGTCGCATGTGGCATGGCTGTGACATCAGAGCCTCTATTGTTACCACTCTGCAGCAGGGGTCACAGTGCCCGCATTAACAGTGAGGTGGCATCAGTGAGGGTCCGCATCAGAGCTGCTGGTGTTAAGTGGGACCGCCTGTCACTGTTGCAGATCCATGCTGTTAACTGGTCCCTCTGAGCATCTAGCCTGTGCAGGACACTGAGGTCTAGAGTAAATCAGTGTTGCCAGCTGCCTCACATTGTGTGAGAAACCCGATGGTCGTGGAAGGGCTGGACTCAGGCCGAGTGAGGGGGCCTCTCCTTCTTGGGGAGCCCGTCGAAGATCTAAAGCAGGCCCTGATGGAGGAGTTACAGAGCAGGAGGCGAGGAGGATCTGGGGAAAGGAAGCAGCACACGTGTGGGGGGCCCCTGAGAGAGGAGAAACTGCTGTCCGGGTGACAGGAGGTGGGGTCGGGAGGGGGCGGGTGTCCGGAGAGGCGTCTGAAGAGGCAGGCAGGGGCCAGTTTAGGGGCAGCCTCAAGTGCTTGCCAGGGAGGTTGGACCTGATCCCAGGTGCCGCAGGAGGCCTGACGCAGGGGAGCGGCAGTCCGCCTTGTTTTAGGACAGTCTGGCCGAGAGTGGAGGGTCCCCCTCCGTGTCCCCGACACAGTGCTTGGCAGGGAAACCTGCTGAGCCGACTGAGGGTCGGGGCGCACCGGGGTGGCGGGGCCAGGGCGCGTGAGCGCTGGGGAGGGGCTTGGGCACCGCGCCTCTGCTCTCAGCTTGGCAGCCGCCTTCCCGGTCCTTTCTTGTTTCTCAGCAGTCCGCTCTGCCCCTCAGGTGCCCCTGGCATTGGCAGGCCACCCTGGGGAGTCTGTCTGTCTTGTGGTGGTGTCTGACCGCAGGCTTTATGTGTTGAAAGTGACAGGGGAGATAAGGTGAGCGACTGGGGCCGCCGGGGACAGGGCGGGGCCCCTTGGGTCTCCCGCCACTCACTCTTTGCCCCTGCTCTGGCCCTCCGTCTCCACAGCGGGCCTCCAGCTAGCTGGCTACAGCTGGCCCTGGCTGTTCCCCTGCATGACCTGAGTGGCCTCGAACTGGGGCTGGCAGGACAGAGTCTGCGGCTGGAGTGGGCTGCCGGGGCAGGCAGCGCCGTCCTGCTGCCCCGAGACGCCAGGCATTGCCGGGCCTTCCTAGACGAGCTTACCGGTGAGAGAGGGAAGGGGGGAAGGGCGGTGCAGGGAAGGCGTTGAGAGGTGTGGGGAGTGGGGCGATGGAGGAGGTGGTCTCTGACGTTCCCTGTCCCTGGCTGGCGCTGTCCAGGTGTCTTGCAGGCTCTGCCTCCCACCTGGAGGAGCAGCGTCCGTGCCACAGAGGAGGAGGTGACCCCGGAGCACCGCCTCTGGTGAGTGAGGGGAGGTGGAGGCCGGGCTTGGCTGCCCAGACAGCCGTGCTTGGAGCACAGGCCCCTGACCACGAGTACAGTTTGCCCTGAGCACGGGGGCCTGCCATCCGTGTTCGCTCCCGCACCCCCTGACCCAGCCCTGGTCCCTCCTCCCTGCCCCTCTCAGTATTTCCCACCCCCCTCGCTAACCTCACCTTTTCCCCAGGCCTTTGCTGGAGAGAGACTCTTCCTCGGAGCCTCCCCTGTTCTTCTACCTTCGGGTGTTCCTGGTCGAAGGTGAGGCTTCTTAACTTCGTCTTGCCCCAGGCGGCCGGCTGCGTCCCCCGTTGCCTCTCATGCCCTGGAAGCAGTTTTCAAGTCCTGGAATCCGGGCTTCCTGTCCCTCACAGGCACACCCAAATGACAGCCTCAGTTTTCCTGGCCTCTCTGAGTGGGGCCAGGAGGTGTCCTGGGTCCTCAGTTGCTGAGAGACCTGTGCTTCTGGGTGTGGGCTTCATTCTATGAAGTGGGGCAGGTTGGCTGGGTCTGCTCTACCTCCTCCTGTCAGAGGAGGCGAGTGGCTCTTTTCTTTCCGAGTGCGGTGGGTGGTGGGGCAGGTTCCCTTTGTCTTGGCCTCAGAGCTTTTGGAAGCTAGGGGTGCCTGGAGTGTGGACAGGGGAGGGCCGCGGCCTCCAGGGGCTCGGGCTGCTGTGTGGCCGCCTCGGCAGGGTGTGGTTCACTCCTCTGCCCCGGGGACCTGGGCTCCTCTGTGGCTTTCCACCCTGGGCCTTGCCCTGTCTCTTTCCCTCCAGGCCCTGCAACCTGCCCTGTGTCCCTGTTGATGACTCTGTCCACCCTGTACCTGTTAGAGGAGGACCCTGTGGGGTCCCAGGCAGAACCTGCTCTTCCAGCAGCTTCTGGTGAAGCCTCTGAGAAGTGCCTGCCCTCGGGGCTGCACCCTTCTGTGCACGTCAGGGAGCAGTGGCCACTCAGCAGCCTGAGCTCCGTGCTGCTCTATCGCACGGCCCCGGGGGACCTGCGGCTGGTCTTCTATGATGAGGTGTGTGTGTGTGAGAGAGAGAGAGAGAGAGAGAGAGAGAGAGAGAGAGAGAGGTGGGGCAGAGGTGCTGGGCAGTGTGGGAAACAGGTCTCGGAGGGCTGGGCATTGGGGGCAGTGTGGATGCAATGGGCAGTCATGCTGGAGGGAACATGGGGAAGTGGGGTGCAAGGAACTGGGGGGCTGGCTGGGCCTGGATGAGCAGCAGGTGGGGGGAGGGGAGACAGCTGTGGGCAGTGGAACCCCGTGGACCCGGAGCGTGGCTTTGTGTTGGCCGGAGGCCTTCCATGATGTAACAGCTGCTGCTTGGAGTTCGTGTTTGATTGGGCCCCGCGTGCCAGCCGTCTGGTTTTCACAGCCTCTGTGGGAGGAGGGAGTCTCATTAGGCCTTTTTACAGATGGAAAAACTGAGGCTTGGGGACATTAACCTATTTGCCTGGACCACAAGTGGTAGATACAGAAATTGAACTCCAACCAGTTCTTTGGAACGGAGTCCAGAACTTACATTCTGGAAAACAGGATGGATTAAAAAAAAACAAGATAATAAACATGGAAGCCTTCTGGGGGGCCTTCAGTAAGTGTTGATCGTGTTTTGTTTAAAAAGCTCAAAGTCAGGGGCTCCTATAGGGAGTGACACAGGTTTGGGGAAGGAAAGAGACCTTTGAGTCCAGGAGGGGCGGTGGGTCCTCCGGGAGCCTCACCTCACTAGCACTTGTCTGCCAGGTGTCCCGGCTGGAGAGTTTTTGGGCACTTCGGGTAGTGTGTCCCGAGCAGCTGACGGCCCTGTTGGCCTGGATCCGGGAGCCCTGGGAGGAGTTGTTTTCCATCGGACTCCGGACTGTGACCCAGGAGGCTCTAGATCTTGACCGGTGAGGCTTCCCCGCCGACCCCGCCTTGGCCTTGGGAGCCACAGCTGCAGACACCATCTCTCCAGACTCCGGCTGCGGACTTCTCCAGCCTTCGGACGCTCAGTGAGGCCCCATAATGACCCGGGAAAGGGTCGCCTCACCCAAGGGAAGGGTGAGAGAAGTTGCCTGGCCTGGCCCAAGGGGACAAGCTAAGTGGTCAGTGGGAACGTTTCTCCTGCACATTTTCTCAGGTATCAATAAAATCGTTTCCATTCCAGAGGCCATGGGGGTACTGCCATGTGTCATTCGTGCAGCCTGTCGCTCCTCCATCTCTTCTAACAGGAACTGCCCCGCCCAGAGCGCTGCCTCAGCGGACAGCGCAGGCAGCCTTGTTTGTTCTGTGAGACCCCATGTCCCCACTCTGCCCCGGCTGACGGGAGCCAGTAGGACACCAGACTCACGGGCACCAGCCCTCAGCCTGCAGTGCCTGTTACAGGGCCTGACATGGAAATCACTGCCTAACAAACAGTTGGGCCAGTTCGATTCTCGCTCTTTCTCGGCTTACAGCTGGGAACTAACGAAGCTCTCAAGCCATTGGCAGTAGGTGCTGAACACGAGAAGGCGTCTGAGGAGAGGATGTGAGGAGTTGGGCTGTGGAGGGCGTGCTTGGCATCTGTGGGTTCCGCTCCCGCCTCTCCTCGGAGCGCTTCCTCCCTCAGTCTGGTGGCCTGGTTGGGTTGACCCTGCTCCTTTACCTCTGTCTCTGCAGCCACAGTGATCAGGGACACTCATGTGACTTGGTTTGGTTGCTGGAGCTCCCAGGAGGGAGGTACGTGTCCCCATGAGGGGTGCGGACAGGAAGCCTCAAGCTGCTGGCCGTGAGGGGAGAGCTTTCCCGAGAGCGGAACCGAGCAGGGTCAGGCCAGAGCCGAGCGATGGGCGTGCAGGGCCATGTCCTGGTGGTGTGTTTGGAGTTCCCGGGTCCAGTCCTGCCTGGAGGCAGGCGCCCCCAGAACTTGAGGTTACATGAACTAAAGGAGATCCCCTCCATGTTTCTTTTTTTCCTCTCTCTTTCGGCTTAAGCTAATTTGAAACAAGTAACGACCCACAGGAAGGGTCTTAATTGTGTAAATCCCTGTTAAGCTTAGGTTTTGAGCCAGCCTGACTTGGGACCCGAGTTTTGTACACAGGACACGGCGGGAGGAGTGGCACCCACCTGTGTACAGAGGCCCCGGAAGGAGGGCTTGGGGAAGGAGTGTTGGGGGCTCAAGCCATGCTTCCCTTAAGCCCCAAAGCTGGGCTCTGGCCGAGTCTGTTGTGTGGTTTTGGGGTGGCTCTCATCTGTGCAGCATTTACACACCCAGGCGCTGAGCCAGGTGCTTAGGGATGGTACCTGTCCCTCCCAGGGGGCCTGGGAAGCAGGTGGCATCTTGTTGCAGGAAGTAGGCTTACAGGAGCTAAATGACTTGTTCAACATCAGGTCTGTAAAGGGAGGAGACCTGATGTGTCCAGGCTTAGGAGTTCAAAGCCTGGGAAGTCAGCAAACCTCAGAACCTCACTGCCTCCAGTTCCCTGCAGTGATGGGCCTCTGTGCCTGGCCCTGCTCCCAGCTCACAGAGAGGGACCAGTGCCCACCCTGCCCTACATAATCGTGGACTCGTATAGGACAGGCGAGCCGGATGGAGTGTATCTCAAGTTTCTCTTTCCCCCAGGGTGTAGCGAGACGTTAGGTGAAGTATTGATTCATGGGTGATTTTCACCCTTTCCAGCGGAACTGTTGAGGACAGAGATGCTGATCCTTAGATTTTAAGTCAAAGTGCTAAACGGTAAGAAGAGATTTGAGAGGGACCATAAAGGGACGAAGAGCTCTGCAGGGGGGAGAGGGAGAGTGTGGAGGGAAGGGCATTCGGAGCAGTGGAGGCACAATGCCCTGTGTTGCTGGGTGGAGGGGCCCTGTGCCCAGCTCCGTGTTTGGAACTAGGGAAGACAGTGACTTGTCAGATGTTTCCTCGCCACCAGGGCACACAGAGATATCCTTTTGGAAGGACTTGGCAGGATAGGGCTGGCGACAGTTGCCCCAATTTCTCTTGCGTGGAGAGGGGAGGGCATCCAGAGGATCCTCTGGGTCCTCGGAGGTGCAGGGAAGTCCATGGAGAGCATGCTAGAGAGCTTGCCGGGTCCTGGCAGCAGCACAGGGGGAGGGTGGTGTAGGCCCAGCCCCTAGATGGGGATGTGACCAAGTGAGACTTGAATCGATTGCATCTAAATCACTGATTAGTCTGAGTTGACTTGAATGTTACTAGATTAACGTCTCTGTTGGTTGAAAATGGGGACTCGTTACAAGGATAAAGCTGAGTTACCGAGAAAAGCACATTTTTACATACCTGAATTTAGAAGACTGCCATATTTCTGGAATTTTCATCTGTTATAATTGGAAAAGTCACCATATAAGGGTGTGGAAGCTGTGGACCTAGAGAGCAGTGGGTAATGGTTTCTTTGTAGCGGCCTAGGGGTTACTCCTTTCTCCCCACTAGAAGGCCTTCGACTTAGGGTTTATGGGGGAGGACTGTGCTCTGGAAGCCGGGTCAGGCCTCACTGTAGAACCGTTTTGGGGAAGTCTGAGGTGGGGCCTGGGGTTGGGGTGTGCTGTAGGCTGAAGACTGCCCCTGTTCTACCCTTGACCCAGCCACCCACTGCGTACCCTGTGGCCCCAGAGGGTGGAATCGTATGGGAAAGAATCAATACCACTGGAGGCAGCCTCAAAGCCCTACTCATGAAAGAGCAAAAGTACAATAGAAAAGCCCCTGGCTGCTTTTTTAATTTTTTATTTCATTTTACTTATTTTAAAGAGAAAGCAAGAGCATGAGGGGAGGATTGGCATGGGGGCAGGGAGAGAGAGAATCTTAAGCAGGCTGCACGCTCAGCCCCGGAGTCTGGTGCGGGGCTCGATCCCGTAACCATGACCTGAGCCCAAATCAAAATCAGATGCTCAACCAACTGAGCCACCCAGGGACTCCGAGAAGCCCCTGGATTCAGAGGAGGTGAAGGAACTGTGGGACCCTAGGAGGGAGAAGCCTTTGGTCCTGGTTATTGTGGGTCAGCATTGTTCCTGTCCTGAAACATATTTATTCACAAGCACTCTGAAAGGATGAGTTTGTTTATTCCTTCACTTGACAGAGATGAATAGGACATGGGTCCTACTGCAGAGCCCATTAGAGCACATGTCAGGGCAGGAGGGCTTCTCCAGCAGCTCGTAAACTACCCCCAAGAAAGCACCCACCTTCTCTGGGTCAGGACTGCTGAGAGCGGATGGTGGTGCAAGTATTTAAAGCTCCCTTGAGGATTTATAGAGGCACACCATAAAATAATGAGGAAGGCAATGATCCAACAGCTTTAGCTTGGTGAGCCCTTATTACGGTCTATGCATCGTTTAAAGCACCTCATTTTTCCAGCTGTTTCCTACACTCCTTTGATCACAAGATACAGAGCCAATCCGCCTAAGAAGGGAGCCATCAGTATGTAGAAATGACCCGGACCTGGAAGACCTGAGCTTAAGGCCCAGAGACGGGGTTTCTCCTGCATCTTAGAGCCATGTGGTTTCTCTCTCCTGCTTCCTCAGCAGGATCCTGGTCTCGTCTAGCCGGAGAGTGGGGAGGAAATTGTGTGAATTTTGGAACTGACCGCTCAGGGAATGCTGGCTAGGGTGAGGGCCCTCGGTGACAGGCCCGCAGAAGGGTGGTGGGGCCCAGAAAGGACTGTGCAGAGAGGTTCAGAAAATAAGTTCACCTACTTCTGTTTGCACTGAGCTGGCCTGAATTTTTAATTGAAGCAAATTAAAACTTCCCAAAAATATTAGTCTACTTTCTTGGCGGTGCGCACACCCCCTTCCCCATTGGCTCTTTGCACCATCTACAGACAAGCCAGTATTGGCCCTGAGAGAGACCTTCCCCAGCCACTGGCCCAGAGCTAGCGTCCAGAAAGGTCAGGCCTGTTTATAAAAACTTCTCCGAAAGTGCCATCAGGTCATGGTCCATATGGGGCAGACTAAGGTTTCGTCATCGTAGGGTGATTTGCAAAGCGCTGTGAGGCTGGTGCAGTTGAAGAGAAACTTCTTCCGTTTCCTTGTGCCTAAAACCTCTACAGGCTTCTTTGTTTTCTTTAACAAGTCAGCAGAGCGCTTTGCACCTTTTGTCCTGTGGTTGCTCGCTCTTTGGTGACCCAGAAGACAGGTGCTGGTATCGGCCACCGAGGAAGAGGTCAACGGTGAGGCCATTACCACTCCCAGAAGCATCTGGCCTTTAGCCCTGCACTTCACCAGGTGCCAGTATGCACCTGCTTCTGACACTCCGCCGCACTCTGAGCGAATGGGACCTGTTTTGCTACCGATGCTTGTGCACAGATGGCCGTCAGCAAGCGCTGGCCCTCACACCCTGCATTGGCCCCAGGGATCGACCTGTCTATCCAGTCTGGCCTTTCCCCTCTAACAAGTGCTTATTGATCATCTGTCTGGCCTTGGGCTTGCTGGCAGTGCAGGCCTAAGGCAGTGCAGAGAAAGGATTCATTTCCTAAAAGTGTCTGTAATAGCACTATGCCACATTATCTGTAGAGATAAGGCAGGATGGGATGAAATATATGTGTTCATATTTACTTCTGGTTGTATAAGAGAATTCCAGAGGGACAGATTGGTGATGGGGGGCTGAAGATGAGAACAGGGCAGAGGGTGTCAGGGATGCTATTGAGGCTCTTTTCATTTTAAAAATGTTTTTAACCCCCCTGAAGTTATTCCGACTCAGAAGTAATATTTATTTTATTTTATTTTATCTTTTAAAATGTTTATTTTTTAGAGAGAGAGAGAGAGAGAGAGAGAGAGACAGAGCATGAGTGGGGGAGGGGCAGAGAAAGAGGGAGACAGAATCCGAAGCAGGCTCCAGGCTCTGAGCTGTTGGCACAGAGCCTGACACGGGGCTCGAACCCACAAACTGCGAGATCATGATTTGAGCCAAAGTCGGGCGCTCAACTGACTGAGCCACTCAGGTGCCCTCAAAAATAATATTTAAAAATTTATATGAGGCCCTAGGGGGCCAGTGGCCAAAACTTAAAGTTTTAAATTTATTTTTACTTTATTATTATTTTTTTTAATTTTATTTACTTTTTAAGTAAACTCCATCCCCTACACGGGGCTTGAACTCATGACCCCTGAGATCAAGAGTCCCATGTTCCACCGACTGACCCAGCCAGGTGCCCCCTAAACTGAGTGGTATAGATGTTGACTCCTGAGACTT